TTGGATTCAGGTCAAGACATCACACTAGTGACAGTAGAATTAATGTCGTTCTATCAGGTCTGTGATTCCGTTTCTTCACGTCGAAGTTATCTGGAGAAGGAAATGGATTCGTAGCGCAGAAGCAATGGGCATTTAGTTTCGTTTAACAATATTTATCGTACTTTTCCAGGCAGTGCATCAATCCAAATATAGGGCTGCACTGCTGTAAATGGAAAATTTCCGCGATATTTCAGATTTTTTTTTTCAAGTTTCGGCTTCTTGAAGACAGAAGAGGAATCTTTTTGGTACGAAAGAATTGAGATCAGAAAAAGTAAATTGGTTGTATGAAGACTTGTATGACGAAGGCCTTTCAGGTCGCAATGGGTTAATCTTCATTGGCTTATACTAAGTACATTAAAATGATTACGTCATCTTACATTCAATGCCATTATTGCATTCAGTTATTGTTCAAACAAATTATCGTTCAAATCTCCTGCGGTACAGTATACTGTAGTCCACATGACATTTGAGTCTTCTAACAAGACATTTTTCAAAACAAATATTTTTGCCAGGTCCCAATTGTTTTGTCATGAACAAACTTTCATTATTATATTATTTATCAAATAATTTATTCGATTTATTCTCCCTTACGCTACTGTGGACCGAAGAAGTGGATTATATTTTCAAGAAGTGTTTTTTTTGGAGGGTTGGAGGTGTGACTTCCAAAGAAGTGCAACTCAATTTCATGATGCTTCGAAAAATGACAAATTCTATGACTTTCCTCGCATTCATACAAGCAGCATGTCATTAACTAGAAGAAAAAAGATAAAAAATCGTAATGTGGTTTGTTGGGAAAGTTAAATGGTTAATCGAAGGATTGTCTTCCTTCAACTGACTTACAAGTAGTCAGTAACGCAGAAAAAAATTAAATTTCAGAAGAATGTTTTAGAATCATAATTTTTCAAGAATTTTCGACGCAGTAACTATAAGAGAACGATTATGGTTCCACTGGTGACCTAGCAACTTTTATGCCTCGATAAATATAGAAAAGGACTCATTCTTCATGTATATTTTCGTTTTTCTCTGAAGAATTCAGCAATGAACGAAGAAATCGTACGTCCAAGGTGATCATAGAAATCTGCATATTTTTTGGATGGACTTTTGAAGATAGATTGTGCTTGCATTATTAAAAAGTTACACAATTCCAAAAAAAACGTCGTACTGTATGTAATACGACTTCAAAAAAGCCCTTCGATTATGAGTGGCAATAAAAATGTTAGCTCCAAGTGAAACATTGACCATGTGTCTAGTAAAACTCAAATTATCCGGTTTACTATTATCAACTGGGATGAGGCATTTGAAATAAATAACCTAAGAAGCAAAATCGTTGCAATTTCAGCGGATTGTGATTATTCATGATGAGGCCATTCTTGAATTTTTTATTTTCGAGTTTTCATTACTGTAGTACAGTATCTTGATAATAACTCAATTGAATCAATTCAAGCTCTTCAATGTGTGATTCGCGGTTTAAAGAGGGTAAATTGGCACACCTGATATTTTCCGGCGTGCCAAATGCTGAGCAGAGTTCCGAGCCAAATCGGGAAGCAAAGCCAAAAAAGTATTGCAGTTTTGTCGGCTCTTTCGTTACAAGTGGGTCCCAAGAATTTTGTCATCGGGCCGCCATCGTGGCCGCCGTCGCAGTCGCCGGTGTCGCCTCCCAGCCCACGGAAGCCGCCACCGTCGGCCGCCACGGAAAGCGTCGATTCTTTAAAAACTTCCGGCCCTCTTACAAAACCCCGGAACTCGCCTAGCATCGCAGACGCACTTCCGATTGCCACGCGTAAGCGTGAGTAAATTTTAAAATTAACAGGAATTTAGAAAACATTAAAATGAAATGACAAAAAGATCGTTGAAGGTTGCTGCTTATAGGAAAGTTTCTTGTGTTCCGAAAAAAAAAACCTTCGAAAGTTTTCACCCGAGGCTCTCCTGCTTTAAAACGATTAACGAAATCCTCTTTTACCTCTTGAAAATTGTTCCTATCAATCGAATGTGTCAAACTGAAGCAGACTCAGACGCATGACGAATCTCATCTCCGCTTTCTGCCAAACCCAATTTCTGGAACGTCTTCAAGTGTGTAATGAACTGATATTAATGTGGATTTGGCTGAAATTGCCCGAAAACCAGTTTCGAGAACCTGTGTTGCTCAATTATGCTCAAGGTCAAGAAGTCATCGTCGAAATTTGCTGAGGCCACATAAAGCATAATCCAGCACAAGCATGTCCTAATACTACACTGTCAATAAAATTAGTTAAATGAGGATTACTTTTTAGATTCATGAAGTCACGTAACTACAGCAACATGAGACCAAGCTTTTATCTAATACAAGCTGGAGGATACAATTTTGTAAAAGTTGAAATTTATTATCAATCAGGATCATATTTCTTTTCTAGCTTTACCAAGCAGGTAAGAATTTTATCTCAAGCTGTTTTCGTTTTAATAAATCCCAAACAGATTACGAAGTCTTCAACATAATTTAGAACGGTGTTCCCCAATCCCTAATGTGAATAAAAGTACTTGAATAATAATTATTTTTAAAGCGCATGGAAAACTTCGAAAACATGCACATCTCTATGTTTAGAAATTGCAAAAATTTTGGCGAATTTAAATTCAGGATATTGCTTTGGATTTTCTGCGTTGGCAGCTTTCGTCTCTGAGCCGAAGTCTGGGGACTTTCTGAAATCCCCTCGTATTTTCAATCTGGGCATTTCGAGGTACTCATAATTCATAATTAAGTTTGTACTTCGGAGAATTTGCAGTGATTCGTACTTGGATTTTGTGGGCGCCGAATGAGCCACCGCGAGACACGATAATTTGTGGTTCTCTGCTTCATTAGAGTGTTCTCGGAATTAATTATACGAGATAATGTGCTGTTACATTATCGTTTCGGAGGTAATTTCCAGAAACCCCTCGCTTCGTGGAACATGGCAAGCATTTTGGCACATGATTTGAGTCACGGGAAAAAAATGTGCACGCTGAAATACTCCCGAGTTGCTTCCATCCAGTTCTTTTCTCCCACTTCATCCCTCATGTGTCACACAGAATCCAGACGCAAATAATTCCTTTCGTCTGTAGTGATCGTTTTTTTTATAAAGACCTTCTATAATTCGTCGCAGAATTTCCACACAGTTTTGCATGCACGGCTAATTAAAGCCGCCGTCATTCGAATGAATTGCCTGCGGCGTTACGTCGGAATTTTGCGTTTCGGGGAAGGAATGCGTGGGCAAATGCCCTCGGGGCTCACGTTTCGAAATTCCTGCGTGCAGAACTTTAGTCAATGCTGCTGCATGCGCGTTGAGGCGGAATTTGGCCGCGGGTTCCTTCCTTCCGGTTCTGTGCAGAGGCGAGGTGAGTCTCTTTTGCTAAATTTCAGCGTGTGTGTGTGTGTGTTCTTTGAAGAAAGGCTCATTAATGCCGGGCCCGAGGGTTGCTTTGTATGTAGGGGCCGAGTCCCTTGAAGGAATCTCTCGTCTCTCACTCACTTATCGGCGTGCTCTCTCTCTCTCATGGTTTCTGTTGTTTGCGAATGTTTGTTCCTCCGACTATAAGCGTATAATTGTGAAAAAAAAGTTCGACTGAGGATTGATTACCTTTTACAAGGATTCTCCTCTTACAATGCAAATTAACTTGTTATCTTTTTAGGGTTCTGGTCTGCACTAGACTTGACTTCGCGAACGAGTCGTGCGTCAAAACCGATATTAATTCTTGACTTGAAAAAAATAATTGAAGTGCGTCTCAAAATTGGCATGAATCCATAAAAACAATTGGATTTCAGGACTCTCAATAGTGCTGATATTGATTGTAGATAACAAAAATTATTAGTTTTGCGCATTCTCAATTTTTATTGCTGGCGGAAGTTTTCTTCCTGGAATCAAACACTTGCGTTCAGAATTCAGACTGCTGTGAGTTTTAATTAAAAAACTGCGATGTAGTGAAAATTTATGCTTTCGAAAATCAGTAGAACCAATTCCTGCTTCAAAGTCATATGCCATTACTGTATAATTGTTGAAAATAATCTCGCTTTAATTTGTCTGAATACAGACGAGATATTTTGATTAATACTGTTGGTGCAACTTTTGATTTTCTGCTTAGTTCTGCAAGATTCTTTGGAATAATATGCGTAAAACTTCAGATGTTTACGAGGTTAATTTTTGCCTACGTTGGAAAATTATTACCGTGAAAGCGACATTTTTCTAGCTTGCTGTTCTTCATATTCATCGAATTCGAAAGAAAAATTTAGTT